TAAGGAAACAGGCCGTTGGCATCGGTCGTGCTTTCGCATATGTCAAACAAAAAGAATGCCAGCCAAGTGGACGAACGCTTCTTTCAAGGATCTAGTATGACATCCTTGCCCTTGAACATGCACCCCAAAACCCGAAACACTGAAAGGTGCTCACCGGCGCGCGGCACTAACCAAAAGCTTTGACGAGTTTTGAAGTTACAGTAAAGGCCATGTACTTGCTTGGAAGCTGGTGTTGTAATCAAGACGGGAGGTCCGGAGTGGGGCTTCAAGCTAAGGAGGATCCTTATGGCTGACTTCACTGGCATTGCCTTCTCTAATGAGCACGGTTTCTCACAAGGTGTTCTGTACAATGTTTGGTTACTGCAAGGGCCTTACACTTATGCACCTCAACGGGTCTCTGTCTGTTCTGTTGTTTGCTTTTTGGCTGCTACTTACTATTCAGCATGCTGTCGGTGAGTCTTTGATGGGGTTCGCTGGCTTGCTTGCTCAATTCTGGCGCCTACAAGATTTTTACATACTATCTTAGATACATGTTGCTACCTGACTGCCGGGTACTGCATGCTAGTTTGTTTCAACACGGGTGTCGCACCTGCTTCAACCCTCGTACACCTAAGAAACACACGTTTGCACGGTTCGGCGTCAGTCTACGAATTCTGCTTCCTATTTAGGGAAATACTTTCAGCAAACAGCACAAGAACACTGTCCACAAGGCTGTCCAAAAGAGCAGGCTTGCTCGACTGTTGATTGTCTGTATAATATGAAAACATATATGACCGTACCTACGTTTTATGGACAAAAACAGCATGCAAAACACGTAGTCTTTTCACCCTACAGATGCTCCTGTCTCACAGCCCTCTAAACAGCACAAGTGCCTGGAGGAAACATCACTATACAAACATGCACATGGCAAACAACGTCTTGCCCGTGTTTCGATTTAGTCCTTGTGTCGGACAAGGATAACACAGCCAACCTACCCGATGCTAAAACTACACGGCCGCGATGTCAAAAAATCCACCTCACTAGTATTTAGGATCCCATCCTAAACCCTCACGCCGACAGACTGCTTCAAACCTTCCCTCTTCAAACCTTCAACGACCCTCTCGGGCCTGGCACGGTGCAGGGCAAGTCTGTCTGCAGCGTCCACTGCTGCCACAGCTCGCGAAGAACCATCATCAAAGACTCCCTGTATCCATGGACGCCCCAGGATCTAGAGATGTCACCACCTTTCCAATACCCTCTCCATCGAGCGTTGAAGGGATCTCGAAACAAGCGCATCTTGGGAGGCACGAAGGCGTTGCACAGATCTTGATCCAGGTCTTCGTCTTTGTATTTCACAGGCCCGCGCTTGCGAGCTTCTGATGCCTTTTCAGCTTCGGCCTGCTTGAAAGCAGGTTCGCACTTCTTTCTGAGCGGCAGCAAGCGCTGCCAGAAAAGCCGCTCCTCCTCTGCTCTGGTTTTCTTGCTTTCCAGGTGTCTTTCGAATTGTTGCCGATCGCTCTCGTCCATCATGTCAGCAACTTCTTCGGAATCAACCAAAGCATCGACGTCTTTGTTCTGCGGCTTGCGAAGCCACAAGATTTCGTAGACGTCCACATCCGTGCAATGAGGCAGGAAATGTCGAACTAACACCTCCAGCAATTCCGCAAGAGACATTTTCTTGTGCACTCTTCGCACCTTCTTTCGCAAGCCTAGATCCAGCAGCTGCTGAAAAGTGCACTTCCAGAAAGCATGCTTCGCTGCTCCAACACACCACGGCTGCGCATAGTCTACTGTAGCCAGAAGAAGGCGCGCATGTGGGCCGCTGGCCCTCTCGGCAGGAATGTTGTACTCTGACATCTGCTGCCTGGGGGTCACCCACTTGCAATCCCAAAGGTAATACTCCTGTCCGGTCATGTAGAGATGTTGAATGACAGCGCCCTCTCCGTCCTCGATGGAGTAGAGCCTGGCCTGGCCCTGCCATCCCTGCAGCTTGATGGGCCAGACCAAGAGGGACACGTCAGTGTGGCCCAAAAGCAGGAAGTACGTGCTCGTGGCCTGTGCCCCATCGGGCGCCACTAAAACCGGTTTGCCTTCGGGGAAGAATGCAACCTGCCAGGCTTCCTGCTCTGCAATGCGCCACTTGTCCTGCGCCATGACGTGCTGGAGGAACATAGACTCGAAGAAGCCTCTGGACCAATTCAGCGGGTTCGGCGAGTACCACGGGGCCTGTCTTGAAGTTCCACGGATGCTGCCAACGTCAATGCTGCAGTCCCTGGCCAAGCCTCGGAAAGCGTCTTCGGTCACGGCCGGCTCGGTGCTCTTCTGTGGGAGTGCTGAGACATCGATACTGTCGTACTTGAAGGTCTGCTGAAGCACATTCTTTGACAAGAGGGCCCACATGAAAGAGACCTCGGACATTTCCTTGTTGCCACTGTTGGACTCTTGTCTCCTGCCGATGTTGAAGGCTCGCTCCACGAGCCGCGATTGACGAAAACAGCTGCAAATCCTCCGCATCTTCTGCTCAATGGCGGGTGTCAAAACCCAGCCGCTTTTCTCCAAGGCCTGCGCAAACATCTGCACAACCGGCAGCCGCAGTGGCGAGCGCTCGCAGATGCCTTTGTAGAAAGTGGAGTTCATCGTCTTGGCCTTTGCAAAGGCCTCCAGCTGCGCTTTGAACTCAGCAATGCTAGAGTCTCTCACTGTGTTGTCTTCGTCCAGCCACAGCAGCCCACGGTACGGCCAACCTGTCAAGAAAAAGGCACACCGTGTGTACCGCCTTCTCACCAAAGCGAAAGAAAACTCCGAGGCTAACCGAACTTTCTCTTCCTCATCGAAGGGACACACATCTGCCGATGCTTCTGCTCCGTCCGTGGTGATGTCCAACTTCTCGAAAAATGCGGCGTCACTCAAAAACTGTAGCATTTTCTGCAAAGGCTCCCAGAACTTGCCCTTCAGCTGCTTTAGCGCCCATTCCTGGCCCTTGCTGCCGCTGACCAAAGAAGCTGCTTGCTCAGTATAATGCTTCCAGCTCTCGCGGGACAACAGCCCCAGGATGGTGGCCGTGGCCTTGTGCTGAGGCCCGTTGAGCAAATGGAATGCGAAACACAGGGAGTTGCGGCAAAGCTTCCGAAGTTCCTTGATTTGCTCTGCAGAGGAACCCTTCGTGGTTTGCTCAAACTTGCTGCCTCCCCCTTCCGCCAGTCCACTTGCAGACAACTGCTGGAGCATCTGCTGGAAGTGAGCCGTTTCCAGAAACTTCTCGTCCACACAGAGACGCATGAGCAATGCCAGGAAGGAGCTCCAGTCTTGTATGAAAGCATACAGACGATTGAAAACCTGACCCCACCGGCACATGGCGATCTTCTCCTGGTAGCACCAGAAAGTCCGGCTAGACAAAAATGCTTCCCAGATCATCTGCTCTCCTTCCACACCCTTGCTAAGTTCATGGGCCAAGCCCTTTTCCTTGGCAATGTCACGGAGGAAAAACTGGAAGCAGCGCTCTGTGTGACTATGCTTCTCGCGCAACTCCGTGGCCATTGCCTCTATCATTCGCCCGTACTTGCCCTCTCTATAAGGCAGAAAGTGTAGATTCATGACAACAGTGACAGCAAAAAGGAAGCTGCCTGCGCCGCAGTCTAGAGCTGCAGAGACTGAATCGTTCATCAAGCCATGATTCCAGATGTCTGGGTCCCGGGCGCAGCACAGGCGACCGCGCATACTGTCTGCCCAGTTTTGGAAACACCACATGTCGGGTCCCTGGTCCGATGCCACCACCAAGACGTCTTTCTGCAGAAGGTCCTCTTCCGCCGCCCAACCCTCCGAAAGCTGGAACTTTTTCAAACCACCTCCCACACCTCCGGGCCCTTTCAAGGCGTTGTCAAGCTCCACAGCTACCCGTTGAGCTTTGGTGCGGAAAAAAGTCGCACCTTTTTCTGACTTGCGTTTGCGACTCTGCAAATCGCTATCTGGGCGTAGACGAGATTCTAGCAATTCCTCCACTCTGAACTGCTCTGCCAAGGCCGCTTGGCTGTCCCCTGCATCTTCCAGCTGCTGTGCTCGGCTTTCGTAGTCTTTGTGAGTCTGCAGGGGCCAGATACTGCAACTGCAACTTCTACAAAACGACTCTCAGCACGCATGCCCCCTCTATTTTTTGCGCTCTCTCACATTCCACACACACACACACACAACGACAAGCGTGGACACCCGCACGACTACGACCAATAAAATTTCACAAATGTGTCAATGCAAAACAGGCACCCAACCATTACAAACATTGGGCACCTGAAGACATATTTTGCGCCAATGTGGCCTCTCATCCTGTCATGAGCATTATAACAGCTAAAGAGCAATAGACCAACGCGCTGGCATGAACTCCCGGCGTCCACCCAACCAAAACAGAAAAATCCACCGTAACAGTATGGACTACAGAGCTTCCCCTGCAAACAGCGTCGCCGTCAGACACAACAGTGCGCCAAAGCCTCACAGTTTCAAACGAGATTCGGCTGGACCTCTGTCGCAAAACATTCACTCCACAATCTCACCATGTTGCTTTTGCTTGGAACATATCGCGCTACTTCCTGTCCCAACTGGCTTCCCACCACGCCCTCTGCGGGCAGCCCATCCAAGCCCAGGAACGCAACGACACGACGCAAAAACGCGCGAGAGTTTTAAAAAAGAAAACAATTTTAATAAAATTGGACCCTAACCTGTTTTAAAGAAAACTCTTAATTTTATTAAAACAAAGAAAGGTTTTATTAAAACAAGATTTATTTTAAAAACAATTGTCTCGCCGACGTTCTCCGGAACTTCAGCCACAAAAGCAAGACGGAATGATCTCTCGAAACAGACGTAAACATCTCTAGAACTAGCAGGTCATCCATGAACATGCAATCGAAGCTTTCCCCTGATTGCAATCTGGACGGCCTGCGGGCAGCACCAGAAAGCACGGTCGCCGGTTGCAGCTGCCACTGCTTTCACAGGTCTTCTGCCAAGTCGCGTGTCATCTAAGGCCACAGACACAACGTCAGCTGCGTTCACTTCGGACATTGCCTGCCTGCAGTAAGCACCAAGCATGGCTGCGCGCTGGTGCTGCGGAACGTCTTCACTTCGCAGGGCAGACTTCGCATACCATGCCCCACTACTGAGCTCTGGAATGTCGCATTCCAAAGTCTTTGTCTCCAGAAAGCTCCCAAGCAGCCACACGAGCTGCGGCAACCAGCCCCAACATGTAGACTCTTGCGTGTTCAGAACGGGTGCTGCTTCCAAGAAGGCCTTCAGGCTGCAGTGGCTAGCATCCGGCAACGCTGCTGTAGCAGCATGCAGCGCTTGCTCGTGGCTCAACCGCAATCTGTCCAAATCAACGCAGCCTGAGTCAACATGGATGGTGACTTCTTGCTCCCCGTTCATGCAGTAAGGCGGCACCCAAGAAGCGCTCTCGCTCCGGATTCGGAGCAGGAAGCGCTGCGGCAATCGCAACAAAATCGCTTCCAGCAAACGTTCGGCCTCCTCGGCTACCTCATCTATTCGGCCTTTGTGGTTGTAGGGGCATTCCCACCGAAGAAGCAGATGTAGCAAGCCGTGCGTGGACACTGCAGCCCAAGGAGCCGGTGAGACTTGACCGTCTTCCTCAGCTTCTTCTTGCCGGCGGCCTTTAAGCAAAGCATGCTGAGGCAACTTTGCTTTTTCCAGATGCTGTGACCAAGCAAACCATCGTTTCTGACGTGTCCTCGCATACGATGAGCCACCGCCGCAAGCTGCATAAATGTCTGGCAGACTCCACCACAAGTAGTTGCCTCCGGCAGGCAGGTTCTGTGCCATGACAGATACTTCGATCGTCTCACTTCCTTTGCAAGCTAAGAAGAGATTGCCGAACCTAAAATCGCGCAAAACTTTTGGCATGTCCTCATTTCTCCAAGACCCAGTCGGATCCCGAACACGCAAAGCAAACTGCTCATCCGCTTCCATGAGGAAACGGCTAAAAACCTCAGGACACCATGTCATTTTCTGAGATCTTGGGCACCAGACGAAGGGATGCTCACCCTTCCATTGCACAGTAGTTTCTGGGCCAAATTCAACTGAAAGCTCCGCGACTTCCAGAGTGCTGCTGTGAAACAAGTAGCTGCGCTCGCACCATCTGAATACATGCACGTTCCCGCTCCATGATGCCAGCTTTCCTTCGGCCATGAAGCGACAGACTTCTTAAGATTTGGCACTGCTGCTTGATGTGTGTTCTGAAAATGCACGGTGTCCTGAGCAGTGTGGCTGTTCTTGTCTGCAACAAACTTGGGCTGTCCAACTGTTGCTGCTGAGCTCAGCTCGGCAAAAACACGTTGCAGCAATGACAAACAGGCAGCACTCCAAGCTTCGAACGGGGCATGTCTTTCAAGGCATGCAAGCAGTACAACAAGAATCTCCGTCTCTGATTCACGTGGCTCCCACCGGTCTCGAAAAGCAGCTGCCACGCTAAATAAAGCAGTTTGTATAGAAGGATGTTGCATGTAGCCAAGGGAAGATGTAATGTTGCTTGAAGCAATGTTCCAGACTACTTTCCACATCTGCAGATTGTACCGCCCTCAATGTCTGAGAAAAGGGCGCTCAGAAGGAAAGCTTCAAATCATCCAAACTGTCTCCTTGCATGAACATGTGCCTCTCACTTACCCGTCGCAACCTGTTAGCATGTTTCCGAACACAACTGTGTGCCCATACTCACCCGGCACCGGAAATCCACCCGCCAGTTTAGCTCCCATGTCAATACCGAGGTCTTGGCGACCGTAACTTCATGATGTGTTCATCGTCACCAGATTTCGTTTTGCCCCCGCACCTCTGGTTGCACGACACAAGCACCCGCGATGTTGGCTTCTCTATTTCCCCCCACGGTGCGCAACTTCACATGCAGCATGCAGCCTCCCACCCTTATTATGTTTCAACGCAACCTCTTGGGCATCTGGTCGGCTTGCAAAGAGCCAAAAGTCCCGAACACAACGATTGAAAGCAAGAGAAGCAGCCGCAAGGAAACTGTAAAGCAAAGTGACGCATGAAAGCTTGAATCCGCCAAGACAAAAACAATCCAAATGCATGGGCATGGACAAACATTAAAAACTCCACCCTACTTGTATGGACTCCCCACCCTCCAAACAAGAATACATGCAAACAAGTTCCGACTTGCAGATGAACTTATGGCACACGATACTATTGACCTACACAATACACACCGAGACGACAACATCAATGTAGCAAGCTCAAGGAAGAAAAAAATCCGCGCATGTTGTATGCACTTCGGAACCCCGTGCAGTTGGGAGCAAGAGTTTCGGTAGGCATGCGCCCGCAACCTATAGCACTGCACGCAACAACGGAATCATGCTGAAACTCAAAAACCCAGAAAGCAAGGGCAGAGGACAGCTACATGAAACGCACAATGTTTTGGCGAGGATGTCCAAACCTGCTTTGGGTGGTCAGAGAAAGTGTTCCGCTGTCGTTTTGGTTTCTACCGCTGTATGCCCCCCCCCTCCCAACCACTCAGATTCCTGCCAGGGCGCCCGCTACACCGCACGCACCAAAACGTGGTTCGAACTCCTAAGCCCTGCAAAGTAAGAACATCACGTGCGCAGAACGAACAGCAAGCACGACGAACAAATCCACCGCAACCGTATGGACTCCCAACCTCCGACCGACAGCAGTAGAAGCAAAACAGGTTTCGAATTGCAATGAAAACTAAGGCACAAGGCAATGTTTCCACAATGAGCGGCAGGACAAACACGACACGACAACATCCGCCCAGCCTGCGCAGCGAGCAAAACAAAAAATCCACTCATGTTGTATGGACTTCGGAGCCTTGGTGCGGTGCTAAGCAACAGTTGGTCCTGGCGTGCCTGCAGAACATGTACTGTCGGACTGAATTTATAGTGAAAGCGTAGCAAGTTCACAGAGGCAGGAGGGCAGCAGAAGAGAAACAGACGGAAACCAAAAATCCACAGAGGTAGTATGGACTTCAACACCTCTTCTCGCCAGCAGTAAGATTATTGCCCGTTGTTTGCTAGGTTTCCTAGACGGCGCCGACCAAAACACGACCCGAAACGTGTTTTCGAGCACGTTCGCGAGCGCAAGAATAAAATCTTACGATACCCGATGGACTTTCGAGGCGTGGCGTTCCCAGCGTGAGCTGCCTGCAAGACATAGCTTTGTAGAAAACCACCGCATTTGCCATTCCTGACATGCGTCTACCAGTTGCTTCACTGCCAACATCAGTAGCCCCTGCACTCAATGTTTCGTTCGAGGAAACTCGCAGCCGTTCGGCTAGTGGTTGCAGCATCGACACTGCTTGTCGCGAGACTTTCGGATGTGCACGCAAGGGCGGACTGAACCGCCAACTGGAATCGCACTGTGTGAAACACAACTGTGGAGTATCGGAATATGACATGTCTACTTGGCTACCCCAGCAAGGCCTGCGTTAGAGCTGGTTTGTAACCCACGCGCGAATGCACGTCACCATCGGCAGCGAAACAGAACCATCAAGCTGTGCATGATTTGACAAACATTTGGATACAACAGCCCGGCCACATCATAAATCAGACCTGACG